AAACAGCTTGCAATTTCATTCGGTCTCCTTTTTGATATTTGTTCATGCCATACGTAGCAATATCCTTCATTGTTGCCCAAGTCGTATATAGTAAAATTATAAGTTGCAGGCTTACTCTTATAATAATAGTTACTTACCTCTGAAGTGCGCGTTACTAATACCTTCTGCAAATCGATTTATCACTTTTTAACAATTTCTTATTAGCATCTTTCAGATTTCTAACATACTCTGTTTAAAACATGGCTAGTGTAACTTTCTTCCATTGATTGAGTTCTTTTCCCCGGATCTGTATTGTTATAAGCACTGCATACTGAACACTGATCTTTCTTAGGCCTGTAAAATGCAATGTTGAATTGTGAGTTTAGAATATCCCTGTATTGTCTAACTGTAACGACGGTATCCCATTTTTTAAGTTTAGCATATTCCACGTTCACTCAGTGTATTACAGATATGTTTAAGCCCTCTTCTAAGTACATGCGTTTTGAGTTCTTCCTTGTTTAATGAGAAGGTACAAGTGGAAATAATTTTATGTATTCTACAATGTTATGTTTTACACTATCCGGGATCTTATGCGGTCTAGTATTATGTTTTCCTCTCTTATTTGCTTCTATGATACCAGCTTCACTATTTTTTTTTTCAATACAGTGCAGTGCTAACAAAAGGTTCGGAAATCGCAAGCGTATTTAAGAACATTGTCTTGTAAATTTGTTTTTCGGCGTTACCAATAATAAATTTATATTTGCTCAAAAAGTATCTCCTAAAATTGTTTACAGTATCTTGAGTTTTAGCTTGTTGTGTCACGCACCTTGCAAGAAAATCTCACTGCTTGGTATAATCTCCTAGTTTTCAAAATTTGTCAAAAATTACGTGTCTTGTTTCAAAATTTAATATACTATTACATTTATATCTGCAACTATCCTTACAAAGAATATTCATCTTCTTTGCAGGTATAAACCTATCTATGCGGTTCTTATGTTCCAAGCCGCTATTAAGTTCTGTTTTGACTTTTCTGTCAATCTATTCGTTCTCATTTCTAATTCATCTTACTCATTCTACACTTTCCTCGCGGTAAAGTAGATAGAGCATTGAGATACTACATTTACATTAATGTATATTGTGTTGTCTATATTACGATTGGGAGGGTCGATATAAAAATAATAACATTCTCATTAAAGATTAACAGCATAAAAGATAATCGCAACCGCGTTTGATGAGTCCGCGTATAAGGAGGGGTTACTGTAAATTAAACCATTATTAACCAGCCGTATCTTATAGAAAAATTTAATTGTCGCTATTTTATTTCATTACGAGTTTGCTCCTTAATTAATTATTTTAATGTTATAAGCAAGGAAATTGGAAAAAAATCTGTTTTTAGTTTTAATTTTTGACTTACTCGAGAGGGAAAGTTTTTACCAAACTATGTCTGCAAAAATCCGAATGCCACCTGTCACATTCACTTCAAAACAAATCCGCCCTAGTCTATTACCGCTAGGGAGAACAAAAACAAACAACATTTTGTACGCCAATGGAAGACCAACAATAACTCAGAACAGTCATCATCATTACCTGGATTTTAGTGCCTACAATTTTGATACTTAACTAAAGTATATACAGATTTAACGGATTTAAAACGGATCATACAATTTAATATATATCTGTTTGAACTGTATTTGAAATAGTGGACCAATATAAAACTTAGACAAAAATAAATCCATGCCCGGTGATAGACATTGTATAAAATATCGTTCAACTATCTGTCTCCTTTTAGGACGCACCATAGTCTATAATGCCGCCCAAAGTCAATGTTTCCAATCGCCGTGCATCCGCCAAGATCCGCAAATAATCCGATTTGCGGATCTTTTTGAGAGTTATATCTTCTTCGTATCTTTAAATAAATCGGATATCTGCCTATATTTTTCATTGTATTTACCAATCTACTACAACAGACTAATAATAAAAAATAAACTTGGTTTGTTAGTTATTTCCTGTAAATATTTTATGGTTAACACCTTATTTGAGAACCATCTAGAGGAATGAAATTGGCAACACCGCTCAAAATATCCATCTGACTGCTTAGATAAACGAAAGCCTAAAGTCGGCCACTCACGATACAGCGGCGTTGTTCAACTTCGACTAATTGACAAGGATTTTGATCATGTGTGACCGTGCATCCAATGAAATCGTACAATTTGACCGCAGACAGACTGGCCTGTCTGCTGTAGTACTGCAGAGTTAATCTCATCAATTTGTTGAGCGTGTGTGACCGTTTACAATTTGTCGATACTGCAAAAATACATTTTTAACTACACACTTGCTTTGATATTATAGAAAATCGAAATGGCTTGATTTACCGAGAATTTTTTAAGAGAGGTTTTTGAATTATATAAAAAACAAGAATGCTTATAGAGAATAATAGGTAAAACGTATCACGATAGAAACGCCCGAAAACAGGCAATGGACAGTCTAGTTCTAAAGTTCCAAGAAGTAAACAAAGATGCGAATGAAGAGTATGTAAGAAAAAAAATTAAGAATTTTAGAACATCCTATAAAACAGTCCAGTAAATCGGGTGCAGGGGCAGACGAGATTTATTTTGCACCAGAATGTACGTTTTATTTTAGATTTCTTTTTACGATTAGTTATACACAAAGCAAGAGACGCTAAAATGATTGTTAGATTTGACATGGTCGAGAACCAAACAAATACTGCGGCGCAGTATGGTGTGTGGGCGCACCAGATATACCAACAAATTGAACAACGCCTCTGCCCGATTATGTCGAACGACACCGCTGTACCGTGAGTTTGACAGCATAATAAAATCCTAGATTTATGCGTAGCTTTCAATTTTTATACGTGATGGGCGGGGCAACCTATTTGGGTGGAGTTTTGACTTGTTCTTGAATGAGTTCAGAATCCAGCAGCCCGCTGAAGTATTGGATTTTTATAATATAATTATTTGACAACCTTTTGTTGGCCAACCACATAGAGCGGAGTTGGGCCGAAACAAATATATTTCGTATGTTCCGAATTTAACTCGTTCAATCTGTATAGTTAAAATATGGCATAGAGCGTTGTCTTATTACTTCTGTTGTAGAATAACTTCAGACTAGGTGCTGAGAAATTTTATGTCAACTTGAGAAGTTTCGGGTGTTTGTATCAACGTTAGTAAGGATGAAAGATTCTCCTGTTTAATTTTTGATTCGTATATACATAAATATGTTTGCAAAATTGACTATTTATAATTAAATCCTTTTCTATAATTACTAAAAAGAAGTCCAAATCTTCCTAACAAAAAGTTTTGTATCTAATTTAATAAAGCTAAAAAGAAAATTTAAATTCTGTTTTTGGTGGGTGTATCACTTTTTGAAGGGGAATTTAAATAAACCAACAATGTTTAATTGTCTAATTATTGAAAATTTATTTCACATTTATATTAATTATCCATACAGTTTAGTTTACATAAATATAAAATCAGGACAATCATTTTACGTTCAAAATATATTACTACATATTCCTATGAAAATACAAACAATGAACGATAAGAGGCTCTAGAAATAAAAAAATAAGGGTTCATTAATGTTTTGTCAATTTATTTAGCGGCCGTCTGCAAAGAAATGATATATAATTATAACTAAAACAATGATGTATTCCATACAAACAGAATTTTGACAGAACATAGCGCTATGTAGGGAAACATAAAACCATATAAGGAGATAGAAAGTTTAATTTAATTTTAGGCCTACATACAAATTACCTAATATCAATGATTACCCAGTCTTTTATTCTAGCTGTCTTCTAATACTTTTAATTTTTTTATTGGATTACAGATTATAGACCAATTAGAGCTGAATTAAATAATAAATCAAAAAATGTTGTGAGAACATTAATCTAGAAATAAAAAGCAATTTAATGAAAAGCAAACATTGTCAGAATTGTCATTAGAAAATGACAAAGAGAGAGGCGTGGACAGGTGAGTGAATTTGTCATAACTTCAATCAATCAAAACCACATATAGGTCACGTGATCTGAAGTTTTCCTATGGCAGGAGAAACGACTATTAGAAGTTGAGAAATTGGTCTGACAATTATCTTGCCCCTTCGGAAATCACTGTTTTTAGCAGTTGTTTAAGGAATTACTGGGGAATTAACCAACCACATAGCACATTCTCAGTTTTTCTGATGGGTTATGAACAGTAGCAGTGTAAGTTGAATTTTAGAAAATATAAATAAATGAACTCTATCGTTCTATCGATTATTTTGTATTTTACATAGAAATGACTTCCCTAACACAACGAAAAAAATATTTATCAACAAATAAAATATTGTCCCGCAGGTAAGTTCTTCTAATCCGAGCTAAACTATTGATGGTTTTTCTTAAAAACATAACAGTCTCATTTAGCTAGGCATTGAGCCCGAACTTACCAAACAAGGGTTTCATTTTTTGTACAAAACACACCATTGTATATCTTATCAATTTTCCTAACTGTCCAAAAATTAATATATAGAACAAATCAGTGAAATTAAATTGATCTTTACACATCTCTCGCCTAACAAACTAAAAATGTACTAGTACTAAACTGAAAAGTTTTTATTTAGACATTCACTAATTTATTCAAGCTGAACTGTGACTACTAATGGATATGAAGCGAAGGTCATTGCCAAACATATATTTGTATAGAACAAAATAACGATGACAGTCTCTGAATCTGTGATGAAATCATTTTATGCCAAACAAAAGTTTTTAATAATGAATAATAATACCTTAGGCATCTACTGATTTTATATACAATGTGCTGAATATGACTAAATTTGTTTGCATTTTGTAAACTTACAGTATGTATTAAAATGCAATTAAATAGGCTAGTTCTCCTTAAAATCTGCATATATTTGTTTATGATTAAGTAAATGATACTTTTTTGATATTTTTAAACAGACAGTCCTGAAGACTTCTGTTTTAGATATACAAAAAACAAATGGGGTTGCTATAAAATCACAAACTAATAAAAAAGAAAACGTTTATTAAACCAGCAATATGGATCTAGTCAAAATAATCAAATATTCAATTTACAATTGAAACAGATGAACGCAATAAAACTATTTTATTCTTAAGGTTTACTAAACATTACTAAATATTTTTTAAATGGTATAAAATAGAAACTTTTCATTTGCAAATAAAACTTAAATTTTTTATTAGTAACACAAAAAATTGAAATTAGGTCTAATCTCTTACAAGCTATGTCTAAGTACCATTTACTATACATCATCCTACAAGATATTAAAATGTGGAAGAAATTTTACTGTTATTATAAAACGTATTACAAAACTCACAACACCCAACAAATGTTTCAGTCATACTTTTTTAAAGGCTATTTCAGATAAGTATCGACAGTTTTTTATGCAAATGAAAAGTTGACAGTGTTGAGTTAAGGAGATTCAGGTACATACTGGTACATACGCCGCTTATAATATGTACTTCGGCATGTCTCCTAATTCTTTCAAACTAGCCTGTAGGTAAAGATGAATATTCTAAACGTTAATTGCCATCAAAACAAATGAAAAAATTAAGAAATATACAAAAGAATGACTCCTAACCTATATAATATATTATTATTAACAGTAATTATCTCGCAAACTTGCATGGCGCAGCTCATACACAAACTAACCTCAAGAAAAAAAAACTAATACAACTTTCAATCACAAATTAAATATTTCAGGAAAATTTTGTGTTTTGATGAGTCACTTTTCCAAAAGTTTTTAAAAATGAATTCTTTGTTAACCTACAGTAGATTTAATGAAATAGAAAAACGAGCTGATAATAAAATTTGGAAATAATATAAAAATATTTATTCAGCAGGCTTTTCATCTTCCGTCTTGCTTGCCGATTCGGGTTCTTCGGCACTTTTGCTCTCTTCTTCCTCGTCTTTCTTTTCTTCTTCGGAGGCGGGAGCATCTACACTATCCTCTTTCGCCCCATTCTCTGTGGCAGCTGGCGCAGGAGTAGATTCCTCAGCATCTGCGTCTGGTTCATCCTATTACAAATATATGTGATTAGAAAATTTTATAAATAACTCAATACAAAAGAAACAAACTGAGAAGGAAACATAAATAGGAAATCAAATTTTCTTACTAGAAAAAGTGATGACAAGTTTTCTTTTAATGAAAAGATCATTTTAAAAATTCTGTAGTTAAAAAAAAAGTACAATTTACAGGTCAAAAAATAATAACAAAAACCACTAAATTGAATAATCACTCATTTATGGAATGAGAACATGATCTTCAAAATACAATATATGAAGATGAGAAAGAAAATTCATGTATCAGCCAAGGTAGTTTCAGCAACACAAATATTATGCATATAAATATGTAAGGCGCCTTTTATAAGAAAAGTTATGACCTAGCAATGATACTACAGAAAGAGAAAGTGAGTATTACTTGTGTCACTGAGCATTGCTTGGTGTCTAGCAATATTCAAGTAACTTCAGTTTCCCATTTTAAATTAATTTCATATTTTTAAGGAACCAGTAAAGAAAAAGGAGGTATTATTCTTGATGTAAAGAATCGTCAGAGTTAACTGTACAATATGTAGATGTTAATATGTGTAATAAATACAGTTTTTTATATTTCTTTTGTATTTATAGACCTCCAAGGAACGCAAGAAACTAAATAACCCCTACTACACCGACCATTATAGTCATTCAAATAGAATATAAAAAAATTAAACAGCAATACTTGCAACAACAGAATTATGAAGGTATTGTGAAATCAAATAATATAATAAAAAAAAATTGGAAGAGAATAAGGGAATATCAGAATGTAACACCACATAAATTATCTAGCATTAAAATTAACCAAGACGAGATTTTATCAAAGATAAGTCAAATTTTATAAACAATTATTTCATTGATAAAAATCATAGCAATGTCATTAAAAATTATAACATGAACATCAACAGAATTCACAGAAGATTGTTTCTTTGTCCAACAACTGCTGAAGAAGTTGTTTCAATTATTAAAAAAACTACATCCAAGTATACTAAAGATCTGGATGAGATTAATGGGAAAGTTAAAAGGAATGTAGCCGCTTATATTAAGGATTAATAAAGGATTTCCCGTTAATAAGAATCAAGGTTCGGCAACCAATATTACTAATTATCAGTTAATTTCTACAACTAGTCATGTTGCAGAAATATTTAAATTGAATCTAGAATACTAGAATAATAGAAACAATTTGGAAAAAATTTACCTAACTTTCAACATGGGTTTAGGAAAAACAATTTTACTGCACATCTCTTGATGACCGCTTAAACTTTATATTCATAATTCACTTAATGGAAAACAAAGCACCCTGGGTCTATTTTATGATCTCAGTTGTGCTTTTGACTTAGTAGATCATAAACACCTGCTGATGAAGTTTAAAGGCCTTGGGATAAGCTGTAAACCATATGACTGGGTGAAATCCAGACCATTGTTTTTGAGAATGAATGACAACAATAATTTTATTATGTTTCACCACAGCTTTGAAGAACTTGAACTCTAATAGAACTTCTTGTGAACTTAATGAATACTCTATGACAAATGGCCTTGTACTGAATGGAATTAAAATGTGCTCATAAGTGTTTTACCCAAGAATGTAACTCCCAAATATCATCCATATTTGACATTGATTGATCTATTCAGAACATTGGGGGAATGAAATAAGTAATATTAGATCCAAATCTAACTTGAGAACCTTATGTAAACAAAGTAAAATCAAAATCAAGTACACTCTGTTACATAATAAGAAATCTAAGAGAAGCTGTATCATTTGATATTCTGAAACTGCTGTAATTTGGTTTAGTGCAATGAACCATTCAATATGGCTTAATTGTCTGGGATTTGTCTGCATACTTATAGATAGAGCATTCATAGCTCAAAGAAGCTAAATGGAAAGAAAACAAATAGAAAACTATTCTTAAATGAACATTCTTATTAGATAAGGATATATTTTATTTTTGTTCATTTTTGCTTTTTGGGCATAATAGGAGCTCGCTCCTCTGCCCTTATTTGTTTTATAATAATAATAATAATAATAATAATAAATTACCTTATTCAGATATTTTTTAATTATATTTTGTTTAAAATAGCAAATATTTTAATTGTGTTTCTGGGATTTTTTTCATATTTTGTACATATATAAATAGTATAGAATTACTTCATGAGCAGAAGAGAAGTCAAAGAATACTAGAAAGAGAAGATATTTATGGAATTGGAGGTTCCATAACTTGATTGGAAATTTCAATAACAAAAAATAAAACATTCCTTTTTAATTTCCACAGAACATCATTAACTTAACATGTTTCATTGTACAACTTCATCAGAATAACTTTTTAAAACTAACTAGTTATTTATTTTTTTTACAAGTTATTGAGGGATTCACTGATCTAGCTTGCATTATTTACTAAGAAACACGGAAATGCAATCAACTCTCCATCAGGGACGAGAGAGAAAAATAAAGAGAGAGAGAGAGAGAGAGAGAGAGAGAGAGAGAGAGAGAGAGAGGGGGGGATATAGAAATATACTAAGAAATTAACAAAACTACCAAACTGAAAAAAATATCGAGAAAACAGTGACATAATAATATAAAAACCTAAATTTTCCTCTGAATATAAATAAAACTATTTTCCTTCAAGGGCAAAGATTTTTTTACTTCGATACCAGTTCTGATTATAATCAACTATTAAATTAGTAAGAATTTAATATAACAAGGTTGAATCAGCATAATTAATAATGCTAAATCTAGGTAAAATATCCTAATATCCTGCTAATAATCCATAAATGGATGTTGCAAATATTGAAATAATTCATTATAAAAGTAAATTTCAAAAGAACATTTGAAATTGACAAATAATCTAAATAATCTGACATTGTCTAATAAAACAGTTATAATAAATGGTTATCAACTTTATGTATCTAAAACTTTATGTCTCATATAAATTAAGTTTACTGGAAAAGTGTAAACACTAACACATATCTGATTCATTTTCTAAATTGTGACCATAACAATATTTATATATTGCTTATGTTATTGCATATGCTTATTTTTTCATGCATTAAATTTACTGTTTTTGCGCTGTAGGAACATAAACTATTTTAATTGTATCAAATGAAAGTACACAGTGAATGTAAAATTTGATCTTGCAGAACGCATTGAATTACATTTCTTAAGATGTATATGACAAATAATAAATATGAATATATTGTTTTTATTATTTTATTAATCTATTTATAATCAATTGGAACTGAAGAACACATTTTCATCACAAATTGTTGAAGAATTTCCACATGCAAGGACTACCAAAGAAAAATTTAGAAACTCTATAAATAAAATAATAAAATTGGCCTAAAGCATCCTATAGCAGACAATATTTGGATAAGACCATACAAAAAAATCATTGCAATAATAATAGTTATTTATGGATAAACTAGCCATATCAAATTATTTGTATTGAGAGAATTAAATTAATAATGATAAACAAAGAACTGGGGTCAAAAATCTTCGTGATTAAAAAAACTCATACCATGTATAACTAGAACAATAAGGGAATAATCTTATCGATGCTTTTATTTGTGCATCCCTCATTATAGGGGTGAAAAGGGATAGATGTTTTTTCCCAAAATTTTATCTTGAAACCTATGGAAAGAAAATTTGTCTATAAACACATAAATATACTTAATGTAATAAAAGATGGGCATATTGACTTGCCCTTTGGTGGGAATGTAGTGCACTAGTAAGCTTTTTTATGTATAAAATGATTTCTCCTTAGGATCTAACTATAACATAATCTAGACAATCAGCCGCCTCATATTACTATTAACAAAAAACACAAAAACAGGCTTAAAAATGGAGACACACATATGGTTAGATACGAAGCAGATATATAGGGATTTTTGGGACCCCATCTTTCTTTCTGCTATATTAGAGCTTTGTAAATTTGTCTATTGTCTTTTAGATGACTTTCTATATTTCTATATTAAAATTTATGAATGATATAGAGGAATTTGCAAAACTCTGATATGCAAAGATATGAGCATCCAAAAGTGATTCTTAAAACTAAATAAAAACACCTACAGAAAAGACCTAGCCTATTTCTTTGTTCAAATTACACGTAACAGAGAAATAATTAATAAACAAGAGAAATAATTAGGAGCAATTCTGATTATCAATGTTTATAAAAAATTGAAATCTTAATAAAGCCCTCCTAATTTTTTATTTCATTATATTTGCACCAGAGACAAAATTTGAACTTTGAAATTTCACTCAAATCAGCAGTTTTCATGATAATATTGAGTATTGGGAAATGTGTGGTTTCTTTAACTTTTTAACACAATAAAACATGGATGCAGATATTTTTTTGATAAGATTACCCCTCATTACTATCCTAGTTATAGACAATATACAATAAAATCACAAGTTCGATTTTTTTTTTCAAATCCTTAGTTCTTGGACTGTAATAAGACAATAAATGGTTTCCACCATATAAAGTCAAGAACATTTTTCAAAAGTTGTTTGAATCACAAATGAACATTTTACTGAAAGTGAAAAAACATGTATCGTAACCTAACCCTAGACCCTGAACTCCTAAAAAAATTATTAATATATCGAAAGACAAGTCATCACAGATCAGTACCAATCTGATAGGGATAACTGTTGAAGGGTACCACAATTTGGAGGTATTCAGACGCAGGGAGACTAAGGGCTAAAGTTAAAGAACAGTGAACTCATATACTGAGTACTAATAATTCTTTATGTAAGTATACAAAAATTAATCAAAAATAAAAAACGAACAAATAATTCATAAATAAATCCTTCCTGTACACTTTTACTATTTTGAATACATGAATTTACTTTGATGTAATGCCTGTAAATTACAATATCAATTTCTTGTTTAAAAGCTTTAAATCTATTCGTGTCTTCATCAATCTAATAAAAATTTATAATATATCTTACCTTAGCATCAGCATTATTATTGGCAGATTCCTCTTTGTCATCATGTGAATTAGTCTCATTACCATCAGCTTCACTCTTTTCATCAACACTCATTGCCTGATCTTCACACTATATGGAAACATTAAACAATATACATTTAGAGATTTTGTTTGTATGTAAGAAATCTGATAATTGCATTTTTTTTCAATAAGTTTAATTATGTTAACATATAATTTTGTTCTTGAATATAATTTCTATATAATAAATACTATCAGCTGGAAAACATATTAAAGTTCACCATATTTCTCTTTCTATAAATATACCTTTATAATAAGCTTTGTAACAAATGTTTATTATTGATGTATATGTTAACATTGTTTGTATAACTATAATTATTATTTCCTTCCTACACATTTACCTTTTATGTTAAATAAAAATTATACATCTTAATTTTTCATAAAATGTGGCTGTAATGCTTATACAAACCATTCACTTAAAACAATACACACTTGTTTGAAATATTTGGACATAACTTTTAATATTTATGTTTAATTCATAAAGTATTTTTATTAACTTATGAATTTTAAACTTTCAAGTTTTATGATAGTCAACTTTAATCCAGTAATTTAGAAGTATGTCTTGAGCATTATAGTATATAGCAAGGTAATACACAAGATCTATACTTTATGAGTGAGACATGTTTTCTTTTCCTAATATTTTACCACTTGAGCTACCAGCCCACCAACCACTTCCCCATTAAAATATTTTAGCAAATTATGTGTTTACGGGGTTTTTCCCATTAATTTCAAATTATGTGTATTTTATAGTTTGATACGTTCTTTAAAGCTACAAATAGGATGAAGATATTTCATGTATTGGAAGATTAAAATTAAAAAAAGACTTGAAAGAATGCAGTTACAAAAATATATAATGAAATTAGTCACCAAATGTGATACTTTTGATATGGGAAATGGGAATTTTAATCAAGAAAAACTTTTGTTCACAAAAGATATAGCAAGGTTGAAAGAAATATAAAACTGTTAGAAAATAGTAAAAAAAACAACAAATTTTACCTCCTCATGAAATATTTTTTAGTTCAATTCAGAAATAATTATATTTAATTAAAATTATAATTAATATATAATTATAATACAGCTCTCACCTTTGAAGCATCAGCATTGTTATTACCAGATTCTTCTTTATCATCATGTGAATTAGTTTCTGTAGTGTCAGCTTCGCTTTTGGATTCATCAATACTTTTTGCTTGTTCTTCACTTTCAGCTACTGAGGTTTCAGATTTTTCATCATGTGAATCACTACTTTCTTCTACAGTTCTCTTAGGCCTGCCCCTTGATGCTAAAATAAGATTTCAACAATAACTAACTGCATCAGTACAATGACTTCTTCGAAAAGTATAATTGTAATTTTAAAATTAACTATAATGTAACACAAATAACCTTAGCAGTTAACAAAGAATTTTAGAACAACATTTGAACAAGTAAGTATTTATTTCACACTGATAACCATTTGACCTATAGTACCAGTTCCCATAGAAAGCTAAATAAACACTTCTGAAATAGTATTTTTTTAAATCAATAATAAAAAGAACAAGGAGAAAAAAAAATAAACAAAAAAACTGATTTCTAAGCGAATTTAAAAAAGAACAATTTTACCTACACAACATACACATTTTGGATCTTTGGATGAGGGTTAAAGGAAATAAAATGTATTACAATTGTTTTAAAAAATATCTTACTTTTAGTTGTGCTAGAACTTTTTCTTTCCTTTTTAGCTGGAGGTGGGGGAGTGGCTGTTACACCTTTAGCTGCTGACCTTGTTCTGCGTCTCCCTTCAACCTCAGGTCCCAAGCCCTAAAAAGAAGCATTATTTAAGTTTTATGCTTAGAAAAAACACAAAAATTTACCTTAGTGATCGCTTCACTTTCTTCTCGAGCCCTCTCAATTGTCGTTAGTCTAGGAGACTTTGACTTGGATTTCCTAGTTTTGGAACTTTTTTCTTCCTAAGATAGAGAATTTTCAATTAATGTATATAATAATCATTTTACACATATTCTAATTTTCTTGAAAGTGTGTATGTATTATGATCCCTGGTCCAATGGATTATTAAGTTTAATAGTAAAATGGATTCAGAACTAAGTAGTTCTGAAATAAGTAGTCGGTTAACCTGAATTACTGTTTACAATTCAGTCAACATCCAAAAGACCTTAAGTATATTGAAAAACTGAAAAGTATTGATTACTTCAGGTTATCTAACGAAATGTTGACTGTAGATGTCCTACAAAAAGAATCTTTGAACTCCATACACTTGCCCAAGTGCAACTGATAATTGCTAACTTTTAGAATAGATAAGGCACCTAAAGAAGAAATACAATGAAAATTCATATAGGAGACATCTTACTAAAATAATATCACATTCACATTTACTTTCTCTGGACAACCATTAAAGAAAAAAGTATGTAATGGTTTGCTTACAGTTCCTAATATGAGACACATAATACAATTCAAATTTATTCTTAAAGTCAGTCTTATACTGTTTCATATAAAAACAAAGTAGAAAATTATTTCAAAGATAGTCTGTATATAACAAAATGAAATTTGAAAAAATAATATAAAAACCCTAATAAATACATTAGAATAGGTTGATTTTCTAGAAGTTTACTATTTTTGGCATATAGAAAGACCATCTTGTAACAAAAGATAACCATTGGCGCTAAAAAATTATCTCAAATTTAGTGTTTTGAGCACTACTATCACTAGCACAACCAGTACACAAATTACGAACAAAGAATGCTTAATAAATAAACAATTTACGTACCATATTATATTAAAGTCTAAATAAGTTTTAGAAGAACTTGAATATTCCCTCCAATTTTAAAATGCTGACTGGTTAATACTACGACATGAAGAACAAGAGAAAGTAATTTGTAAAAGAGCGACACCAAGCTGAACGTATGTGTCTACTCATTGCGTTTTTCACGGCGTAGGTAATAGAAAATGCATTTTTACAAATTTCCTATACATATAGGTCTTTGAAATAATGTGCAATATTAGTCTGTTTTATGAAAATAAACGACAAGTAAATAAATTACACGTAAAAATGCGTTTTAACTGAATTATTTAAACCATTCATTATCACAATGTTAACAGTCCTTAGAATGTGATTCTATCCGTTTACAAATGATAGCAATGACCTAATCTAAGGGTGCACATCTATTACGTGCACATTGCAGAATTGTTTCATAAAATAACTAAGAAAATATACAAATCATTGTACTCACTTGACTATTTTCTTCATTTACAGCATTATTAGTGTTTACTGAATCCACTTCAGACATTTTTACTATTTATTTTCACGATCTACTTAACAGAAAACGTTAACGATACACACAAGAACTTTCCCGGTCGTTGTTTATTCGGCGAAATGGCGGCGAGCGTGGGTCATGTGATCAAAATCACTTCGACAGGTTATATACCGCGAATTTTAAAAATGCCGGAAAAATTTATCTCATATAACTGTGTTTTAACAGAATATAATATCGTTTCATTATTTTTAACACACTTCGAAGTTTATATTTCTTAGTTGAATTTCCTAGTTTGAATATTTTGTATTATAAATATTAGGTAAAATATTTAAATAATGGTTCCAGTATTACCGGCAAAGGACTCTCTCTGTCAAACTAAGTAGCTAGGTAACTTTTATAGGAATGGTACAGTAAATAATGGTCGTTTAGAATATAAAAACAAATACCGTGTTTTGACAAATCTGAGATAATCCATGGTAGTATATAGAAAGAGATAATCTTCCTGTGTTTAATAAGTTAATTTTGAGTTGAATATAAAGTAGAATTCCAACTTGAATCCTAAAATAAAGATCATTACAGGAAGAATAAAAAATATGAGGTTCCAGCAAACTTTAATTTTGTATTTTATTATATTTTTTGTATTGTATTATAAGTTTTTTTTGTATTTTTATTTTTGACATAACATAATACTTATCAACAAAAATGTAATTAACAGATTATTATTCAGGTACAATTTTATTGCACAATATAGAAAATTACAAAAGTAATATGTAATTTCAAACTGAGAAGTGAAGAAGTAACTGAGTGAAAACTAGCTGGTAACAAAATATACTGGAGATAGAAATATCATTTATACTAATGAACAACAAGAACTTATCCAGAAATACAAAACTGAAAATATACTGAGTCGCAATTAAAAACCAGTAGGTAGTTACATAAGCAGCTGAGACAATGTGCCTCGCAGATACAGATGTAAAATTAAGAATATTCGAAAGAAAAATACTTATAAGAATTATGGGCCCGATCAGAATGGAAAACGGAAAAATGAGAATAAGAATGAGAGATGGCTGGGACACATAGAGAGAAGGAAAAGCAATCTACTGATTAAGAAGGTCACCAAATGGAAGCCAGAAATTAAAAAAGCAAGTGGAAGGTCCAGAGAGAGATGGGAGCACCAGGTCATGAAAGATATCAAAATCCTGAAAGTGAGAAACTGGAGGGAACTATGCACAGATCGAAACGAGTGGAAGAAAATGGCAAAGAAAGGCAAGCCATACAACAAACTTTGACAATGCGCAAGAAGAATGAGTAGTAATTCACCGCAATGCGCGAATTTAAGTAAGAGCGACAATCATTCCACCAGGAATGAAAGGCCTTGATGACGATTAATAATTTCAAACTAATCGTGGAAATGTTTGTTGCATAGTTTAAGGGTTTAGATTAAACATTTAAAAATAAAACAAGAAAATATTATAGTTCAAAATATTGTAATTCTTGAACTACTGTTTCATAGATTAATTTTATAACGGTTATATGCTTTCGGTTCATCTGTATGAAAATACGAAGTAAAAATAAATCTTTATTTATCACTTCATTTTTCTATTTGACCTTATGAACAAAAAATAAAATACACATTTTCATAATATCCACTTCAATTGTTGAGAAGTGTAAATACTTCTATCTAAATATCACTAAAGTTTGTATTTTGAGAACGATTTCCGAAGTGGAAATTGAAACGTCAATAAACTTACTTTAACCTTTAATTGTGGTTTATTCCCATTTAAATAGTAATTAGTGTAAATACTATTTGCCCAAAATAGACTGTGAATTAACCGTTTCAATAATTTGCCCTATAGAGGGTTAAAAATTTAAATCTCACCTTTTGAATTATTACCCGGAGTTAATTTCTGATCTTTGGTCTGCATAGGCGGAGTATTTTTCGTGTGGATGTTCAGGCCGTAAGTAAGCGCCCCCTAGTTTAGCCATTGGTTTTGTTTATTAATGATTTTTTTTGTGTATTATTGATGGATTTGATAATCGTTATAAATTTTATCATTAATTGGTTAAAATTATTAAACTTCTTCTTCTTCAAGTGCCCTCTCCGCTACGGAGTTTGGCAATCATCATTGCTATTCGGATCTTATGAAGCTGTTGCTCTAAATAATTGGTTAGGTGTGCACTGGAACCAGTCTATTAGATTGCGAAGCCAAGATATACGTCGTTTCCCCACGCTTCGTTTGCCCTGAACCTTTCCTTGGTTAATTAACTGGAGCAATCGGTACTTTTTTCCTCTCATCACATGACCAATATATTCCAACTTTCTTCTCTTGATGGTGATCAACAGCTCCCGTTCTTTGTTCATTCTTAGAAGAACTACACTATTTGTTATTTTGTCTATTCAATCTTTGTTTTTTTATATAATCATGAATTTCGTCTTCTTGACATTCATTGTTAACCCTTTCTCTTCACTAGCTGTGACTACCTTGTTTAAAATGGCTTGCAGGTCTTCTACTGTCTCCGCCATTAAAACCGTATCATCTGCGTATCTAATATTATTATTCGGTTGGTCGTTAACTTTTATCCCAATCTCTTCTTCCTCCAATTCTTTCTTCATAATTTCTTCGGAATGGAGATTAAATAGCATTGCTGATAGCACACATCCTTGTCATAACTCCTTTTTTAATTTGAATTTCATTTTTTATGCTATTTTCAATGCGTGCGACTGCCCGCTGATTATAATACAGAGTAGATATTATTCTTATATCGCGAGTGCCTAACTTTTTAGCTTTCAAGATCTTTGAAAGTTGGTCATGCTTGACGTTATCAAACGCCTTGTTGTAATAAATGAAACAAGCAAATAAAACTTGATTCACATCCAAACACCTCTGTGTCAAGATGTTAAAGGCAATAATGCTTCGCGAGTTCCATATCCCTCCCGGAATCCAAACTCAGTTTCTCCGATATCTTCTTCCAATTTTCTGTAAATTCTATTGTGAATTATTTTGAGGAATATTTTTAAGGTATGATTCATCAGACTGATCGTGCGATGATCACTGCACTGCTTAGCATGTGCCTTCTTGGGAAGAGGGACAAAGGTTGATCTTAGCCTTTCTTCAGGAATTATACTGTTTTCATAAATCTTGTTAAATAAGTCTACTAACAAATGGAACAAATCTTGTTAAATAAGTCTTTAGTATATCCGCTAAAATTATTAAACACTGTGCCTCTATTATGAATTAATAAACAATCCTCTATCATGAACTCATATCCAATTTAACTACTCATGAGCTGTTGAAGGAGGGAAACTTTTACATCATTTTAAAAGTCCAACTTCTTCCTCCAATTCTGAGGAGTTTAAATTAAATTGATCTGATACAATTTGAAATCATTACGTCATTAATTTACCTAAACCATAAAATAATGTTCTTTGTATCCTGTCCAAATCTATCATTTACAGATTAAATCATCTTGCCTATCACAGAACAAAAAGTACATAATTTTGTTTCTATTTTTTATCCTTAAACACAAATGCCGTATCAGGATTAAAGTTAACTTGTTATTGCTCAAGAGCAAACAAACAATTTTCTACACTTTCTTCTATTCTTAACTCTTCCAAAGCCAGTATTTGGATTTATTTTACTAATCACTGTTTTGGACCCCAACAAAAATTTTCCCCAGAAGTTACATGATGTGAAAATTAATTCTGAGTAAGACGTGCACCGTTCGTGCACGTATTACTCACGTATTACACAAAATTAATTTTGTAAATTATTTTTTATAATTTAAAAGAATAATACCTCACGGTAAACAAGCCTATGATTATCTGTATACTTAATGATACAGCATAAGAAAAAATACTAATTTTATTACTTATAATATCTGCATTTAAGTTTTTATATTTCATTAGAATACATTATAACATGCATTACTGTAATTAATAACAATGATCATATAACATGAATAAAAAGCTAAGTAGGAGTCAATACTCGTTGCCTTAAATAATACAAAAATTCTGGGCCAAATGTTATATCTTCACACTCCTCTTTAGTCAGCAACCCCTTAGAATCAATATCTGCAAGCAAGAAAGAGCCAAATTATAAAATTAAATTTTGTAAAAATTGTTTTAACAAATTGCATAGTGATAAAATCAACCAATAATCGATACAAACGATGTTTCAGAGATATTTATATTTTACATAAAATAAGGCAACATTGTAGGTGGCAATCAGTTTTAGAGTATATTAAGTGACAGCAAAAACATGGTACCGATTCACTAGACATGTACAAGCTGGTTTAGTGTTCCAGAATCAAGAGCAGCCTTTTTGAAGATAAGGAAGTTTTTGAGTAACTAAAGACTCAATCTGCAAATTTGATATCAGACGGTTAAATGTTATATCCACTATATTATTATTTATAGTGCTGAATCTTGTATTGTTAATGTTGGTTAAATGAGAAAGCTGGAAGCTTATGCTTGAGATGTGCCTCTTAAGAGACTTTTAAATCCGGATAGAATGGGAAAAGATAGAGAACTTTTGATCTATACATATATATGCTTTGACTTTATATTTACAATTCACTCTCATAGTATTGACATAAATATTGTTAATTATTTTTATGCCATTGTTATGACAGAAATATTGATGCCAGACAAAAAATTACATATTATGAGCTAAGTTTGGTTGTATAATATACATACATTGTAATTCTTATTTACTGTTGAAAATACTTACCGATGATTTTTTTTTCCTTTCTGTCAATAATAACTTTCACAGGTGTCATAGTTTTTGCAGAAGCAAAACAGACAGATGCTATAATTGTAGCATCTGAAGAATCCTCAATAGATATATTTAAATCAAAATATGTTGTATACATATGTATTGCTTTCTGAAATGATTCTTTTTTCAGGTTATAATCAGCTAGTGTTTCTTTCTCATCTGAAAAGGACAACAAATAACTTCCATAATGTAATATGTTTTGGGAATAAATTATTATTTTTCGACTTCTACAGCAGATGCTATTAACAAAATATTGAATACATTGTTATTCCTATTTATGTTATTAAAACATATTATCAATATTTTATATTTATTATAACGACGGCAGTGAACTAGCAACATCCGTAGGGTAAAGACCTATTAATTTACGGAGAGTCATATTTTAAGCTCAAAGTTACGTAAAATAAACTGGGATCATAATGTGAAGAATTCGTTATGGTGTTTTCGGAAGTTAAGCTTCTATTTCTTGCCTTTTTTCAAGTTTCATTACAGTTCTAGCTAAAAGAGCAAGTGTTATTTTATATTATCAACCTATTCAACAAGCCAGATTACAGCACATTTTAAGAGTCCATCAAGTTTCTCTACTGAGCATTCAAAGGCTAGCGGAACATTGCACTGGCAGCAAGTGCAAATCGCTGAAAGAGACACTGATATCATTCAAGACTCTTCCTGAAGGGGCGTGGAAAACCTGCACCCCTTTATCATCTTTTTCATTATGTACTTAAAATGGTCATTAAAAGACAATAAATTATTATCCAATTAAAAACCAAGGTACTTAATTATTGTGATGATCTCTATTTTATTATAAACAACTGAATTATTTATAGCAAAAAAAAAATTACTGACTTTTTAGTGCCATATTTTTTATTTTAAGGATGTTTTGAAATAATGTTAACTTATAATAAATAAAAATGTGTCTGTTATCTTTCTAACTTGAATTTTTATTTAATTCGCCTCTGTAACTCAAAATTAGTAAGAATGCATATTAACCTCTTTAGGTTGAATCAAAATTTGTCTAAAACGAAATCCTCAAGTTGAAAACTTGTGAAACTTTTGAAAACTTGTGACAACTATCTTGATGTTTGATTTGTAAAGGTTCTACTACTGTATAATAAAATTATATACTGACCCTTTTCCAAATTATCTTTTGAATTTAGAAGATTTTTGTACTGAGAAGTTAGGTTTGTGTATGTATTTTTAAGGTTTTTCAGAATTTTTACATCTGCTTTCTGTTGTGTTGCAATACTACAATTTTCTTGAAATGCTTGTATATATGCCTGGTGCAAATCTTTTAGTTTATTTTTCAAATCTTGATCTGAAAAATATGAGAATGATTATATTAAGTAAAACAAGTGATATATGATATGACTTCATAATACATACATGTTCCTCCATTCCCATTTGGAATATCTGGAAAATTTATTTCTTTTATACAATTTTCAACATATTCATTTCTGCAAGCGATTTCTTGTCCTGGTGAAAACTTTGACCAGTTACATGATATATTACTCCATGAACTATTTGGGGTATCCTGCTGTGCAGCTGCCGAAACATCAAAATAGGATCCAGAAAAAAGACCTAAAGTGATAAAACATATAGAGTTAAAGGTACCTAAAGAATGTAATACAATCTAACTAAATTTAGAATCTAACAAAAGTTGAGTTATATTGAAAGTGGCATAAATTATAGAAATGCATGTTAGAAAAAGATGTCATAAAAACGTATAACTTCTATAGAGATAGTTAGAATAAAACAATGATACAAAGAACTTAATAGGTAAGATTATAAAATATTTATTTATCAATAGAACATTTCAGTTACTTGAACAATTATCACTGAATGTACTTACTGTTAAAACTAAAAACATAACAATCAAAAGTATGGAAAGGACTAAGAAAAGTTTTTAATTTCTTAACATTACTTTTTTCCTGGGGATTTGATTCTGTGGAAATAGCTTCAAAGAACTATATCCCTCTGAATAATGGTATTACATACATGTTTAAAATATAAGAAATTTGTGAAAAATGCTGTGAATTACAATTGCAAAATAAGTTTAAATAAATTAAAAGGAAACCTACCTCAATCAGTATACAGTCAAAGAATAATATGAAGGAGAGACATTATCTTAAGGAAGAATGTTTTATGTAGAATTTGTTTTTATTTGGTTGTGAACAGAGGCTACATTACCCTTGAACTTTTTTGGTAAAAAGGAAATAATAAAAGGAAAATCTTTCTATCCTTAATTCTAATGTTTTAACAGTATTTAAAATTTATTTAAACTTTTTATATAGCTATTAAAGAACTGAACAAATGTTTGTTCTTACAGTTATACAAAACGCTTTGTAATCCAAAGCTAAATTAATGTGTAATTACACCACTTTCATTCTAATAAGATTAATGAAAATACAACAATAATCATTCAATATAATTTACAACTTACAACTATTTCTATTCATTTTTAGTATTTTTTTTTAAACGGTTATATTTTGTTTTTGAATAGTTAATGCTTATGTTTCATTAAAAATTGGACGACCCACGGTCATGCTTTTATTGGTTAAATTTTTTTCAACCTGAAAAATTAACACCAAATAACCAACCACAATATTTCTGTGTTTTCTTTGATCACGTTAATGTATCGTTAGATCCACCTTTAGTAGTTAGACAAAGGAAAGAGCATTGACAATTGACACAGAAAAAATAACAATTGTTATTTATTCTGTGGCGTTGACAGCGTTGATGTGACCTTAAAAAAAAACTTAAAGGCAGCTTTACATCTAGGCTATGCAAGTCTCATGCTATGCAAGTCCGTCTTGCATGGCACATCTCTTGCCTAGCTTGACCTTTTTACATCAAGACAGTTTTACATTATGCTATTTTCATGCTAGGCAAGAGCCATGCAAGACAGATCATGGAACTGCGCATGCCCACGGGCTATTTCCATGCAATTCCTGTGCTAGACGAAAAATTAGAACATGTTCTATTTTTCATGCAATTTTCTTGCAATTTATCGTTAAAATTCATGTTGCCAACATAACAATTTATAATAGATTACAGAATAAAACATAACCTTATCTCTATCTTTAGCGTCCCTTAACCCACATGTGTATTGTTGTGTTTTGATTTAAATTAAGTTTATTAAGTGGTGATAAATAGATATACTATGTCTAAAGTTAATGTAAAAACGACTGGGTGAGTCGTTGACTATGGATGATTGTTGCTACAACAGCAATATTCAACAATAACAATGTTTTCTTTGGTTGACATCCTTCACCCTTTTAATAACCATAAATAGTGTATATTTATTTATTATATTATTTATTTTAGTACTTAATTATATTTTTTATTTAAAATAGAATAACCTCAAATTGATAAATATTTTCTCTGTTGGCAACAATGAAAGTGGGATCTAAAATTGCACAGAAATATCTCTGATGTAAAAAGGTCAAGCTAGGCAAGAGATGTGCCATGCAAGACGGACTTGCATAGCATGAGACTTGCATAGCCTAGATGTAAAGCTGCCTTCAGAGATATTTCTGTGCAATTTTAGATCCCACTTTCATTGTTGCCAACAGAGAAAATATTTATCAATTTGAGGTTATTTTATTTTTTATAAATATAATTAAGTACTAAAATAAATAATATAATAAATAAATATACACTATTTATGGTTATTAAAAGGGTGAAGGATGTCAACCAAAGAAAAGAAAACATTGTTATTGTTGAATATTGCTGTTGTAGCAACAATCATCCATAGTCAACGACTCACCCAGTCGTTTTTTACATTAACTTTAGACATAGTAATATCTATTTATCACCACTTAATAAACTTAATTTAAATCAAAACACAACAATACACACGTGGGCTAAAGATATAGATAAGGTTATGTTTTTTCTGTAATCTATTATAAATTGTTATGTTGGCAACATGAATTTTAACGATAAATTGCAAGAGAATTGCATGAAAAATAGAACATGTTCTAATTTTTCGTCTAGCACAGGAATTGCATGGAAATAGCCCGCGGGCATGCGCAGTTCCATGATCTGTCTTGCATTGCTCTTGCCTAGCATGAAAATAGCATAATGTAAAACTGTCTTAAGTTTAAACAAGGAAAGAGAGACTCTTCTATGAGTGTGTTCCGTGTATTCCAATATATTTCGGCGAATAATAATATACAGATTAACATAGACAACACCTATTTCATTATTCATTTCATAATTATTGTGATTAGCGTATTTCTGTTGTTTGTTTAGTATCGTTATTAAAATAACCAAAACTTTACTCATTTTACAAATTGTTGAATTCAAACTATATAACACTATTAAATTTAAAGTACGTAATTTTGTAGAATTATTTACACGATAGTAGATATGGATTCACAAGCCTAAATTCAGTAACTACAATTGAGACCAGACTGGATGTTGCTGCATATGGTGATAAAGTCAGAGTGGTATGGCTAAAAAGCATAGTTCATGGGCTTCAGTCACAGGAGCGTATCTTACTCAGACCCGGATGATTATTTCATTTTGTCAAAAAATACGTTAGACCCGTTAAATCTCTTCAACAAACCAAGAAATGTTTACAATATAGATGAGTCAGGTTTGCAATTAAACAACACTCGGCAAAAAGTTGTAGCGGCCAAAGTCAGCAAGTCAGTCCAAGTTCGCTAATCAAAAGAACAAGGAGAGACAGCGACAGTTGTTACCTGTTGCAACGCAGAGGGATGGTTTTTAGCTCTCTATATAGTTTTCAAAGGTGTATACAAACAAGTGTGGCTCAATAATATGCCTAATGGATCTGAAGTAGTGATGGATAGAAAATCAGCCTACATAAATGAAGACCTCTTCAAAAATTGATTGGAAAACCAGTTTATTACAAGGAAGGCAGCTGGTCCATGACGATTACTTACAGCCTCTCAACTGATCTTTTTTCAAACAATTAAATGCCTATTACCGAAGTGCAGCTATCGAATGGGAAAATTCAAATCCTGGAAAGAAGATAGAACGCAAGCACTTTTGCCAACCTCTACAGAAAGCCTGGTCTCAAAATGTTTCCATTCGCGCCCTCCTCTACTCCTGACTAGGCTTACCTACAAGGAGCCCTGGAGTTCTACTCTATCGACAAGAACGACGCAAGTGATAGCTCAACCTTGAATCCTCAACCCAACACATCTGGTCCACCCTCACTTCATACTCCAAAGAAGAAGCCTACTTCTCATAAAACCACAGAAGTAGCTCCTACGAAACTCCTACAAATGTGTCACCAGTGCCAACATGTGATACTCCTGCCATAGTAAGAAAGAAACAAAAAAGTAACATTTAAGCTTCGAAGCTAGCGAAAAAAAAATCTTACTAGAAGAAAAATTTCTATCTTTATCTGGGGACAAGTGTACCAAAAAATCCTTCGATCATGAAATTGTGGATGAGGAAGATTTCCTCGAATGTGTAGAAAGTGTTAATGTTAATAACGAGTACGTATTGGTTGAGTTTCCAGGAAAGAACAAACCATTGTATTATATGAGTTATAGGCATTAGCATCAATAATGATGGCGTGGAAAGTAACTTTATGAATAAAGGAAAGATTCAATTCATTTTTCCATTAGACGAAGACATCGGCATTGACAAATCCTAATGTGTCTCGTGGGGACTTTAATTTTGTTAATTTTGTTAAATTTCCTAATTGTACCTCAGTTGTGTAGACAGTTTTATTTCACCCAATTTTATTAAAAGTTGCAAAGGTACTTACTATGAGTTTTTCTTTTTGGTTTACATGTAATTTCCCATAAGTCATATCCCCAACACCTAGTGCATCATATTACATTTCCCCTGTCGAGGATATGACGTAAAAGTTGCCTATTTTATTTTTTAAATTATAGTCATGCTGTTAGAACCTGATGAACTGATGATAAACTTCTGCACGAATAACAAACTTAGAATAAACAACACATTTTTTGGCCACAAAGACCAACACATATATACATTTAACACCCGTGGACAAAGATCTATTATAGATTATGCTATAGCCAACAGAGATCGAAAATAACCGATGTAAGATGCCTCAACTCAGCAGATGTAGGTAGCGATCATAGCCTAGTATTATGTAAAATAAGAATCATCCTGAAACACTTCACATCAAAGAGAGCGGCGCCAACACAAACAAAAATCAAAGTCGAAAAACTAATTACGGAATCCAAGAAATAGGTACTTATCCAAAAAAATATCAGACAAGATCGTTGGGAATGAAATATTAGATCACGATAACATCGAGGAAAGCTGGGAAAACCCAAAAATAACATAATTAATGCAGCAACAGAATCACTTGGAGAGAGGAAAGTAACAAACACTAACATATCAAAAAAGAAAACGCCATGGTTTAGAGAGGAAGTGAAGGCAAAATGTGAAGAAAAGAAGAACGCCTTTTTACAATATAGAACACAACAAACACAACAGGAATATAACCACTATAAATCAATTTACTTATGTTTGTATTCTGAGAACGATTTCCGAAGTGGAAATTAAAACGTCAATAAACATACTTTAACCTTTAAACCTTAAATTGTAGCTTATTCCCACATAAATAGTGATTGTTTTAAAATGCCACAAGAAAATAGCTTTAGAACAATACCAATCATCCTGTTATTATCGGTATTACCGTTTGAGATATTGAGATCTGGCAAAAACCCCAATTGTGCGTCATATCCCCTACGTTTATCCTATTGAAACTTTACTATAATTAATAACATGACATTTTTAATATAATATCAACATCTCCAAAAAAGGGTGAAGACCTATAGTAGAACTAAGAACCAATAAACCCAAAAATGGACAATTAGACCTTAATTGACGTTCATGTGTTAAAAAAAAACGGTGATATAAAATAATTAGAATTTATAATAGGATAAGCTAAGAAAGAGATTGTCGAAAAGTATCTATATAAACGTTAATTTTTGTCTTAAAAGTTAAAACAGACAACTTGCATGTTATAATATAAAAAGAAAAAGAAGATTTTAAAACATCCTAATTTATTCCATTTTAATTTAATTATATAGGATAGTAAAATTTAATAATGAAGAACCACTAATTTAACACATATTACTTAAATAAAGTATGCTTCCTTTTACCACCCAAGCAGAAAGTGTTTATTTAAGCAGTTCCAATTCGCTGCCCATGAAAATACTATTATATTTTAATCTTTGTCGGCATATATTACCGAAATCCTTAAGATTTATTAACATTTGTGAAAACAATTCTGTATTTTTTTAAACATTTATCATTATTTTTAACTACTACATTCTGATCAACTGAGCTTAGAACTTGAGTACATACTAAAAGCACGAAGGCCAATTACAGTAGCTTTTTATACCCAAACCTGGCAAAACCGGACAGAAAAAAGCTAAGTCTGTGAAAACTTCGTACTGAAAACAGTTAAAAAACTGGTCGATAGTCATAATTTTTTTTACATCTTTAAAGAGAAAAAGAAAAATCTGCATACA